CGCGCAGCGGAATCCGCAAACGCGCCGGCTCGCAAGTTACCGGCTGCCGGGCCAAAGGCGTCGTGGGCGTCGTGCGTCATTTGCTTCTCCGGGGATTCGGAAGTGGCTGCGCTTCCGTGCCTTGGTTTCCAGCTGGGGCATCGGGCCCCGTCGGGTAGAGATCTCAACTTGCTCCCAGCAGCTGTTCACGATCTGTGGGATTTACAGTGCTGTGACTCCCTGCCGGTAGGCCGGGAACGATGGTCCTGTGATCCGGTGCTTGGAACCCTGGCTAGCTGATGATGTGAACTACATTTCATAAAGCTTCTGCCATTTAATGAGCACTAGTTTGAAAAAGGGCTAGTGGTCTTCTTTTGATTTTTAGCAGGCAAGCATGGGCTCTGAAGGGGATGTCTCCAGCAAGAGTTTTGCAGCAAAGCAGCCTTCTCCCTGTGCCACCTGGGGAAGCAGGAGAGCAGCTCCAGGGGATTTGCGGGCGGGGGGAGCCTTTGATTCATTGAGGCCTGCTGGTGATGGCATGCTGGCTGGGGAATTCTGGGGGCCCACACATGTTAAAGTTGCTGAGGCTGAGAAACACTGGTCCTTCTGCCTGGGCTGGGAGGCTTGGGCTCCAGGGTGCGCAGTGCAGCCAGAGGGCCTTCCACCCCTGCACTCCTGCGCCCTGAAGCCGAGGCTGCCCCTGAGACTGTTGTGCCTCCTGCCTCCTCCGTGTAGGTGCTGGCACTTCAAGGACCTTCTCCTAGAGTCACTTTCTTGCTCCAGATATATGGAGGTTCCTGTATGGAGCTCTGGGCACTCCAGGTTAGAGATTCTTTTTAATTTGCAGATCCAGGCAGGCCAGATCTGGCTGAAACCTGGCCAGGGCCCTTGGCTTTCTGCAGAGGTGGGGTGAGCATGGCACTCCTGGTAAGCAGTTGAGGTGCCAGCTGATCCTTGCCTTTGGAACACTTTGTCTTGGCTCAGCCCCTTCCAAATTCCAGTTAAACAATTTGGCCAAGACTGAAATTGGAATATTTCCTTCCTGCGGCTTCCTGCTGTGCTCTCCCCTTATTTGCTTGTCAGGGGGAGAGGGGAGGACCTGGCCCCACTTGGAGTGGGGCAGGCAGCCGAAGACAAAAAGTGATATTTTTTCCCCAAGAAAGGTCTACTGTGTCAGGTTCGGTCAGCACGGGGCTTCAGGGAAGCTCGCAGCCAGACCACGCGGAATC